TAAAATAATTAAGAATAAATCACAGTGTCATTATTATATACATAACTCCTAAATACACAAGCAGAATATAAACTCACAAAAATAGCTATAAACTGCCTCAGGCAATATTAAAGTCAACCCAAAAGTACATTTTTTAAAAAAACTCTGGCATTTAGAAGTCCAAAGATTGAGGAGCAGAACAATTTCAAAAGTTGGCTAATGCAGATTAGTTTTTAAAACAAAAAAATGGTAATTTGTCTAGCTCACATGTTATGAGTAGTGTTGCCACTAAAAAGAATCCAGCACATTTTTCCTTCTTATCTGCAATGTAGCTCGTATCAGCCAACCTGTCACAAGACAGTACTTGATATAAACAAGAGATTGCAAAGACATCCCAGTAATCAATATTAGGATGGCTACAGTATGGAAGCCCCAACCAGTGCATATCATTTGTCTCAGCATCTATTTCTATGACCAAATGAAGCATTAATTCAAATCATAAATCTATGGTGATTTAAATCTGGGAATGAGCACCTGCCTGCTTTAATGATTTATTTTGTACATTTCAGTAAGCAGGAGATTTGTCCATATGAACTGACAGGTCACCTTCAGATGCCAGTAGCAGACTGTTTATCACCATGCAGACTAGCATCTCATCTTAGCAAGTAAATATTAAACTAAAAGAATCCAATTGATTGTGGATGGGGGAGAAAGGCGTCATGGCCATATATTTTATTCAGTGTGCTAATGCCTCACTTTGATCCAACCAGGGGTCCTTTCTTTTTTGTAAAGTGTTCATTCTGTTGGGAAGATGTGGCCTCAAGGTTATCTTTTCAAATTGAGGATATAAAATAATTACCTATAAGGGTCAGGTTTTCTTCAAATCTTTTGCCTGTCTAATCTTCAAGCATCAGGTTTCAAACAATTCCTGTTTAGCTACAATTAAAATATATTAAAATAAATAAGAACTACTCCTTATGAAACTTAATCTCTAAAGCAAATACTAAACACAGGCCCCAAATAAAGGGTATAATTTGTGCTGAATGCTCTCCTCTACCTCCTAAATGTCCTGTCTCTCAAAACTATCTTATATTTATCTGATTTGAATTCTGTATATACATATTTATGTACATATTATCACCTTTACTATAATGCAAGCTACTTGAGGGTAGAGGCTATTTCGTGTAGGTGTTTATATTTCTAGAACCTACCATAATTAATGCCTAGCACATAACATGATAAATGATTATTGATCTATTTATAATAACCCATTAGACAGAATAAGCTTTTGGCAGATTTGAGAGATTTTATAGTCTTTGGATAAAGATGATAAACCCTCAAAGACAGGTCACTTGAATGAAGAGAATAAGGAAGAGGCTCATGTTAAGGGGGACTTTGGAATTTGCTCTCCAAGATTATAGAATCTTAAGATCTTAAAAACTGGATGGTATCTTAGAGATTATCACTTCATACAACAATCTTATCCTATGTAGAACTACCTTCTGCTACATGTTAATGGTTTTCCCTTTCCAAATAATAGTGTGTACATTTATACATAAACACACTTGGTAAATACACATAGACACACGATCTTGTATAGAAAGGGCTGGTGGGAGGTAACTGTGGTGTGGTGAATGGAGAGTTGATCTCAGAGTCAGGAAGACCTCTGTTCAAGTCCTACCTTTGACACTTACTGGCTTTGTGATCTTGAGTCACTTCATCTCTCAGAGCTCTAGTCAAGTTTCTAGGACTATAAATTGAAAAGAGGGTACTGACCTATAGCAATTGGGGGAGTTTCCTCATTTAGGAATTCTCTAAACCAATGAAACCACAGGTCCAGTCTCTATCGTGGGAAATACATATATACATACACACGTCTCTATATATGTCTATGTTAATGATCCATATTTAAACATTATATCCATAGGCACATGAGTAATTTTAATATGAATCCTTCATTATCTTGAGATTAATTCAATCAGTCTTTTTCTGTTCTTTATACCTGTGATTTCATTATGTGAAGTGGTAGGGAATCTCTACTCATGAAGAATGCAACTTCTCAGAAAATTTTTGTCTAGAGTTACCTGAGCCACTGAAAGGTTGTGTGTTGCCTATGGATAGTAAGTATGCACCGCCCATGGATAGTAAGTGTGTGTTGCCCATGTATCCATGTAAGCTAGAATGGGTCAGAGGTGCAACTTGAACCTAGACCTTCCTGACTGAAAGGATAGCCAAAATCCAGACTTCTACTAATTTAAAATGCACTTTTAAAAATGACTGGTAGAGTAAAAATGATGATCTAAAAAATTAGAATACAGAGAAGGGGAAATCATAGCCAAATAAGCAGAAAACTCAAAACTTTTTGTCTTAAGTCACAATCTTGAATGGATTATGAAAAGAGCCCTCCACATATATTTGGAATATCAAGTCAGTGTGGTTACCTTGACAGCATAGATTTCCATGGATTCTTCACAGCCAACCATCAAGTTTTAGTTTTAGGGATGAAAATTCTAGTTCATGAATCATAGACATGGTTCAAGATAGTCCATAAATACTAGCAGTTAACATGCCACATGTATGAATCCTAAAATTTCTCTATTACTAAGAAAAATTATTGGGTATTCACTCTGCCACAATTCATCACAGTGAAAAAAAAACCTATAAAGTAATTTGTACTAGTTTAAAAAATAGCAAAACATTACTTTAATTCTTATGAGATCAGGGAACCAGAAGGATTATACACTACAATCAAAGATGATAACATCTGAATATTTCACTTCCTAGATTTAATGTTAATCTCAGTTCATTCAATAAATATTGATAATGATGTTGATCATAATCATTGCCCCCCCAACCCAACACCTCCGCAAATTTACATCTAGATTTATGTCACCCATTAACGTAGGTCAAATACAGCCTAAGAAAAGAACCTAGACGGACAATTTCAGAAGTTAGGCATTATGCAGCTATGCTAGGTGGCTACCCACATATGCACCTGCTTGTGGTTTATATTGGTGCTGACTTGACAAAAAGAAAGAGAGAAAATAAATTTAATATACTACCTAAGTAGAATTTGCTCAATAAACCAAACTTGTAGTGTTTTAATAGGGTATCAAAATCTAAAATTATTATTACAGTCAACTCCCTATTAGGAGCTATATCCACTGTGCCCACCCCAATGCTAGAGCTCATCCACAATTATTCGTCCAAGCACAAGCCTATTCACCTTCTCCACATTCTACTTCCCAAACTGCCTCCCACTCTGCTTTTCAGGCAAATTCCATTGCAGGTCTATGGGCTATGTTTTATGAATTTCTGTTTTTCAATTGTTAAAAGATTTTATAACAATTTCTCATTCCTTCCTCCAAGAGTTGTCTACATATAACATGTTCACTGTTTTTCTATTCTTTTAAAGACTAGTATTGGTTGGTAGAAAAAAAAAGAATCCTTTGACTGTAAATCATTAATTAAAATAAAGAAAACAGTTGTATACTAAGTGGTATAAACCTAATAACTTCATCTATATTTGTTAGCTCTAAAAATATGTGGAATTATGCTTCTTTCATTTTTATGTATTTATTTTAAAATGTTTATAAAGAATGAACTTGCATATAAGATCTATGGCCTGGACAACTTCCCACTCTCTCCATCTTTCCACCAGGAATATTATATAAAAATAAATATTAGTGTTTCCTTTATTTGTCCTCAATACCCAGGGACATCTCCAAGAATCTCTACCTTTAAGGTTTGCCCAAGTAAAACTCATTGCTTTCTGTCCCTATCTGTTTTTATTGAGCTCACTGATGGCATTATTGTTATGTTATGTTATGTTTTGTTTTGTTTTTCCTTACCATTTTGGAAGCTGGCTTTGACATCACACAGCAGCTGGGTTTTCATTGTGTATATGTGCTTCAAAATTATTTGCCACACTAATGACTGTGTTTGGTATATGACAAATGTTTTAAGGGGAAAAGTTGCAAGAGTATTTATTTCTACAATGCACTGTATATATTCACAAACCTAGAACTGTATTTTAAATGACTGAAAGTAGGCAGCAGCTGGTTATCTTTAAAATAATCTATAAAATAGTTATAGCATATGAAAGAGAGAATTTAATTGAACTGTCATGAGCTATTTTGCTCCTTTAAGCATATCAGTTGAATATAGTATTTGAGCCTATCTTTCAGTCTCTACATTTCTCTTGTTAAATTATTTTATTACCACTGTTTCAACATGATGAAAGGCACTGGTATGATACAATGGCAGAAAATACTATTTTCCTCCACTAACATTGATTTCAAAATGTCATCAATAAAAAAGTTAGCCCAGCTTTGAAGTTCATTTTAACAAAACAAACTAGGGCTCCTACCTGTACCACCCTCTCAAAAAATAGTTGAATCAATATTCCATGAAGTAAAAGTAATTTTTGGTACAATTTTGACTTAATCAATCCTCCATTCATCTTTTTTTTTTTACTCCCTGAATATCAACAACAAAAAGGAAGCAGAAAGGTAGTATAGAAAAGAGAAATTAGCATTATTGATGTAAGCCAGTAATTTATCATCAACATGAATTTTTGTTATAGGGCACGTATGGAAGGGTAGAATGTTTTGCTCTCAACTATCTGTACTGCAGTGAATTACCCAAAGTCAATATTTGGTGCATTGAGGAACAAGGCTAAATTTTTCTTTGACATATTCATCTGTCACTCTACCTGTATTTTGAAAAATGAACTCTGTACAATAGAAGTTCTTTCCTTAAAAAAAATTAACTAGTGCCTACCACTGTATGCTGCAAAAGAAAAAAAAATAATATGATGAAAATCGTCTTGCTTAGTATTGTCTTAAAATACTTGTTGCTACAGAAACAACATAGTACTCTCAAAATGTGCCAAGAATTTCTCAAGCTAAAAGAATAAATGTTTTTCAGGGACTGACAGATATTTTGTTTCAGGGTAAAAAACAAAGTAGTTATAACTTGAAACAGATATTTGAATGAAATCTATTTTTCCTAGCACTTACCAACACTTGAATTCAGATCTCCATTCTCTGAATCTGCTCCATGCTGGTTATTACTGGCATGATAGTTGGTCATAGCTTCTAATTTGATTTTTTTCACCTTCATCGCCTCTGCTATGGCAGCATTGGTAGCTGCAGCAGCCGCTGCAGCTGCTGCTGTGAGACCTATTAAAAATAGAAGTGGAACATAATGTAAATTACAGTATCATTTCTCTTGTATAAGTTCAAGTTTTTTAAGTGACTTTTTATGTAGATGTCAATTTTCATATTGAAAAAAAATCAACCAACCCTATGCCAATGCAACTCAGGGCCTATCAGTGGCATATTATATACAGTCTCATAGCATGTTATGCCAAGTTAAACAATTAGCAAACTTAGTCTTAGAGCATAAATTTCTTCAGGGCAGGGTATTTTTTTTTCTTTCTTTTTTTTCTCCACTACCTAGCATAGTAACTGACATATTCTTTGTCAAACTCAAGCTCTTAATAAATACTTACTGCATTCAATTGGATGATGAACGCTGGATTGGGTATCAATCATTGGGCAGACCTCTTTTAGGCCTACTTTTGATACTATCTTGTTTTATGACCTTAATTAAATCATGTATTTTCTCTTGACCTCCAGATTCTCCAGGAAAAATAAAGTGTTATATGAAATGAATTGTAAAATAATTTTCTGCCATAAAAGTCTATGATTGTATTAGAATCCAGATTGTGCTCAGATTTTGGCCTATGTTCTTATTTTTCATTTGTTTGTTTCTTAGTTTCCATTTCTTCTTATTATATTCCTCTAGTCATTTCTCCTAATAGATTTTATTCTCAGCAGGTTGCTTTGAAATTAAGCAGTCCTTTTCTTTTTTGCACTCCACCATAACTAGAACTAATCACACCTCTCAGAAACTATCCAGCAAAGTTAGTTAATGAGCCTAGAATCATACGAAGATATATTCACATGGTTCTTTAAAGCTTACAAAATGTTTTCCCCAAAACAATTATGTGTGGTAGGTTACTGCAAGTATTATTATTTCCATTTTACAGAGAGGAAGCTGAAGCACACAGAGGTAAAATGACTTTTCTGGGACCACATGGCAAGGAGTGCATGAGTCAGGATTCAAACTCAGGTCTTATGACTCTAACACCATTCCTTTTTACTAATCCTTCATCCTCTATACTAGAATATTTCCTCTATTAATAACACCCACTTCCACAAAATTTATTAGGTAGAAAATAGTAATTGACTGGTATTAACAAATCCAAATTTGATCTCATCGTCTTTCCCCAAAAGCCTGCACCCTTTTCCAAATTATTTCATTTTTTATTGATGGCACCTCAGTTCTCTCAGGCTCACAGGCTCGGTGCCTTAAAGCTATCATCTTAGCATAGTACACTAGAGTGTTGGATTAAAATCGGATAACCTGTATTCAGAATTTTCCTCTACATCTTATGTAAACCTTGGACAAATCATTCAACCTCTATGGGTCTCATTGTCCTCCCCGGTAAAACATTGGAATCAGACTAGATGACCGCTGATGCCCCTTCTGGTGCCTGATCTCTGATTCCGATCTTCTATTTTTCTATCCTCCTCATTTGCCACAACAAATCATATTAAATTTGATTCTGCAGTAACTTTTGCGTCTGTTTCTTCCTTTCTAATATCATTGCACTCACTGTAGTTAAAGCTGCCATTACCTTTGCTTTATAGTAACACCATTTTTGACTGGCCTCTGTCTTTCCTTATCTTCCTTTCCACTCTTTCTTTCCCAACAATGTCAGAGTAATCTTTCTAAAGAATTAATCTGATCATATAATATCATCAAAAACCTTTAGTGGATTCCCAATGTTTGCCAAATATAATAAAACTCTTGAAGTAAACTTTCAAGACACTTTATAGTCTGTCTACCACATACCTTTCTAACTTTATTTCTTATTCTGTGCACTACACAAACTAAACTGTTCACTGTTCTCTGATGCTATTCTGCCCTCATGCCATTCCATATAGCATTCCTCTAGATCTGTTTTAAAAAAATCTGCTTCCTTAAAGGCCCAGATCAGATACCCCTTTCTCTATGGTGCTTTCTCTTATAGTCCTAATTAGGTCTCCTCCCTTATTGTCTCAAAACTCACGTGTTTGCCTGTTCCAATGCACATAAGCATAAATATAATTATTGCAGTGTATATATTTCTCCTATAATAGATTTTAATTTCCTTTAGAGACAAGATTTAAGCCCCCCCCATTCTGTATTGCCAAAAGTCAATCCATTACCTCGACCCTAAGTGACACAACATGCATTTGCATGTTGAATTGGATTGAACTGAATTGAACATTAGTATAACTATGTGAAGAGGAATTCAATTTAGTAACCATTTATCAAATATCTACTATGTACAAAGTACTGCATTAGGTGCTAAGACCCAAAGATTAAAAAATGACAGCATTTCTGCTTTCAAACTTAAGAGTCTGCCAAGAAGGCTATCACATGTACAAATATAAGTATCATACGATGTGGAGATTGATCAGGTCAAAGTAGAAATCCAGGCAGAAATCTCAAAGAAAATTGGAAGAGGGAGACAATATTTTCGGCTTGATAAGTCAGGGCAAGGTCCCATGGAGGTGGAAGGTGAAACTTGAGTATTTGTAGAAAGGCAAGGATATATAAATAGAAAGGAGTGAAGAAGGATGTGTTATAGGCATAGGAGACAAACAGTGTGGATGAATTCATAAAGGCCACATACAACAATATGTGAATAAAATACAATATGGCATAGTGGACTGAGTGCAGGACCTGACTTAAGGAAGTTTGCATTCAAGTTCAACCACAGCTATCTGTGTGATCTTTGAAGAGTCACCTAACTCTTTCCTAGTGTCTCAGTTTCCTCAGATGTAAAGCTGAGTTAATAATTGTCCCACCTAGGACACAGGGTTTTTGTTTTTTAAAAAAATGCTTTCAAAATGTTCTATGCAAATATGAATTATTATTGTTATTAGCTGGAATTAAATGATAAAGGGTGAAATGAGAACATTGTGTGCAGTAACAGCAATATTGTTTTAAGAAAAAACTTTGAATGAATAAGTAATTTTGACTATTATAAATAACTAAGTTAATTACAAAGGATATATAAAGGAAGATGCTATCTACATCCAGAGGAAGAACTGATAAATAGAAGTAAGATAAAATGATTTTACATACATGCACACATACATTTGTCTGTGATGGTAGCCATCTCTAAATTGGGGGGTGGGGTGGGAAGGAAGAAAATAGAAGGAAAAAAAAGAAATTTACCTGATATATATTTAAAAGGAATAGCAACTTATACATAAACATATTTGCAGTTTCATATGCAATCATCTTTTTTTTATTATACTATGTCATGGAAATGCTTGTTTTATTCCAAAAAATTAAAAATAAAAGAAATATGGTTGAGAAGATAGGCAAAAGCCAGAATGTAGATGACTTTAAATATCAAGCTAAGGATTTTGTATAGTAACCTCTAGGAAAGAGGAATAAATTAACAGTTTCTGTGTAGGTGAATGACATAGTTATACATATCCATTAAGAAGATTATTTAGGTAACTGTGTGAAAGAGGAATTGGAAAGAAGCATGTCTAAAGGTGAGGGAGCTAGGGATACTACTATTAAACTAGTAGAGTCAGAGTTGGTGAAGACCTGAATTAGGGCAGTCTCCATGTGACCACAAAAGAAACCAATTTGAGAGGTATTGGGGTATGGTATGACATATTGCATGACAAATGATTAGATAAAGCCAGGAAGATAAAGGAAAAAGTGAAAGGTGGCTCAGTGGTCTCAAGTGGAAAATAATGGCCTAAAAGTCATGAGAACCAACCTCTAACCAACTCTGCAATCTATGTGATATATGTGATATTGGGCAAGTGATGGAACTTCTTTGGAGTTCATTTCCTAATCTTCAAAACAAGGAGTTCGAGCATTATATGATTTCTAAGATTCCTTCTTTCAAAAAAAAAATCAAATCAAAAAACCATTCAATGCAACTAAAATCACTGTGGTCTTACTATGTATGAGACATGGTGCTAGGTAGATAAATATGAAATAATACACAGACTTGCCCTCAAGGACTTTACAATCTGATTCTGTGATTTAGCGATTCAGATTATGGTAGCTAATTATAATGTTCACATTGGATTTCTGCATTTAATGAAATTGATATAAAACTGTTGAATAAATGATAGTCCTTATCCTGAGGAGAAATTAACCTTTAAGTTCTGTTTTGCTTACCTAAATACTAGTTCATTTTCTTAAAGAACTGCATATTATATCTTGCTCCAGTGAATGAAAAATGGTCCTGAACTGAACTGTGGTATGTAACATGACTTATTCTCACAGTAAAAGTAGCAGAGACCAAATTCTTTAAGTGGTAAAGCACAAACTTCAGAAGCACATTTCTAAAAACACATTTGCCACTGATAAAACACTGGTTTATAAAATATTTAATTTAACACAGAAGTTCCGCAATGGTATTTTTAGATCAGAGGAAGGATATAAAGTCATATATTACATATTTATAGAAGCTAAATTGGGTCACTGAAAAGGGACAGTGCACCTTTGAACTGAGGTTAGCATCCTGTATTCATTATACAATGCAACCATCTATAGTTCCTTTCCTTTTTTTTTAAACTGACCCTGGAAAATTACAGCTAATGTCTTTGAAAAGACTGAATAGATCTTTACAAGAAACATTCAAAGTTATCCTGCCTTATAGACATAGCTTGCCTTTGAATCAGAAAAAGAAAATACTTTCAGATTCCATTTCAGTTCTATGGAATAGGAAAGACAAATTTTATGTTAGTTAAAAGATACACAAAAATACAAAGCTAACAACTTCTGACTTGATTTTAAAATTTAATTATTAAAATCCTGCTTTCATTTTACTCAATCCACCAAATTTTGCATTTTAATTTTATATACATACTTTTCTATTCTATTAAAATGTCAAACCTGTTGCAAACTTGATTGGTATTATAAATCTCAGCTATTTAAGCTCTATAAAGAACTTCAAAGCATCATTAACACTGAGTCTTTTGTGAATTTTTGCACTCAGGTAACTATTCGCACTAAGTTGTGCACTGTGCTATAGAAGTGGCAGCACACAAAAGGTGGACATAATTTCATTGTTCAGGTCAAAAGTACA